ATATATGCGAAGGCACTGTTGATTCATATGTATGTATGCATACATATTTATGATAATACTTTTCAGAAAAAAAAATCATCAATAATGAAAATAAAGGTTGAGAATGTGTTGCCACATAGCCTTCCAGGTGTCTGTTAGTTGATCGTGAGAGTCCTCTTCTAATACACAATCTGGATGACACACTGCAAAGATAGACTCATACTATGTTAGAAAGTGAAACCGATGGATGGACCATGATGTTGTTCTCCACTTTGTAAGTTAGATGTCAGGTGGAAGTATTGCTTAGAGTGAAAGTGTTTTGGCTTTACCAATTTACATCCAGGTCCTTATGTAACATCCTAAAAACCATGATAATTTTTTTCATTTTTAATAAAACATTACCACAAAATCCATAAATAAAATCCAATATTTTCAAATCATATCCAAGAGAATCAGAGTATCAAGTAAATCTCTCATAACATAAACCATAAGAGGATGTGTATGATCACGCCTTTGCCTTGTTGCGATCTTTTGATGTACTTGAAAACAATGAAATCAACAACTGTAAGCCAAAGCTTAGTGAGTTTTCCCAAAATACCCCCCACACTATACATATACAATGCATACACACTGCGCCCACATCGTCCGTCTGGATTGCCCATGAGCCCACAACATAAGACTGGATTGCCCACTCCCAGCTCACAGCTCATGATTGTCTTACTCCCGAGCCTACAACATAAGACTGTATTGCCCTCCCGACCCTTAGCTTATGACTGGATTGCTCCCGGGTTTGTTGGCTTACAACACAAAGCATTACCGCCTCAACCCAACCGCACTATGTCGACATATGCAAACAGATAAACAATAACGAGGAATACAGAAAATTTTACAGATCTACCAAACTATCCAACCAGCATAGCATATCAACATCCTATACACAAGGACACATAACATAATCTAGTGGGCCGACATTGGTGCCTTCAACCCAGAGTATACTAAGAAACTCACCTCGAAGTGTAGAAGATATATGAACTGATCACAAGTCCAAATACCAGCTCTACGAGTCACCTACATAACAAACATGTATCAAGTCTCAACTACAACCCAAAATTCTCAATTTGACCTAAAGTCAAACTTGGTCAAAGACAACGGTTAACGACCAAAAAGTCAATAGTCGGTTGCCATGACATGGACAAGCATATGCCACATCGTGGGGATAATAAGACAAAAAGGTTGTGAATCTGCCAAACATCATGGGGGTGGCGACTAATACCCACGCCGTGGGAACCTTCCAGACCAGCCAAATCCATTAAGCCCTTAATCCTTTTCCCCAGTTATTCAAACTTTCCAGAATGCTTCAAACTCCCAAAAGATTATAAAAATCGCAACTTTATAGACATGCATGTCCAATGCATGTCTTGAGCTCAAGCTAGGTCAAAAGGTGTAAAAATGGGGCCAATATCTCATACAAGTGTTCAAAACTCTATCAAACTTTAGATCCATCACTCTAAACCATAAAGGGACTCTGGGGATCCATAAAGCTTGCAACTTTATGGAACCCCAAACTTCCAATTAGCCTAATCATGAAGAATAACACAAGAAAACCTAGATCTAAACACAAAGAGACATAAAGCTTGGAACTTAAGGACTTACAAAAGTAGATAAGACGTGCACAAAGGGGATGATGAGAGTTGCTTGTTGAAACAAAGCTTCAAGGGCACCTTCTTCTTCTTCTTCTTCTTCTTCTTCTTCAAAACACTACCAAACACCACAAAGGCTCAAAAGTTAGCAGTGGAGGCTAAGGTTTGCTTTGAGAGGTTGAGGGAGAGTGATAGAGGTTGAGGAAGAGCAACCATAGCCATCACATCCCTTAAATAGGGGCACAAAACCCGAAATTTACAGTTTCTCATTAATTGGCTGCCACGCTGTGGCGTCCACTTAATTCTCACGTAGTCTGAGACTATGGTCACGTTGTGGGAACTCATTCACCACACCATGGCCACCAAAAATGTTGGATTAGGTGTCTAAGCCCACAACTAAAATTGCTATATACTTGAATTGATAGTAGCACGATCATTTGGGTTGCCCTCAAATCTAGCAATTGGACAGGCTGATTTTTAGAGAGAGAGAGAGAGAGGGAGAGAGAGAGAGAGAGAGAGAGAGAGAAATTAATTTATTATGTGAATAAAAAATCAAATAAATTGTTTATTAATGTGTTCTGAAAATAAAATATTAATTAGAAATCATATTATTTAATTAATAATTAATCAAAAATTAATTGGAATTAATTTTAGGATTCATTGGATTAATTAAAAGTACAGGGACTGTTTGGTCATTTATTGATAGTTGAGAAATGAAGGCTCTAGAACCTCATGGAATGAGGTGGACAAAAATCTCTAGGGAAAGCCTAGGAGATTTCGTCCAAGGCTCCTTGGATAAGGGGATTGGGTTGCTTGGTCACCAAGCAAACGAATCTAGGGCTTATCCTTTAAACCATAACTTTGGCACCAAGTTTCCTCAACTATATAAGGAACTTCCAAGCCTTGTTTTCGTCCCAATCCTTCCCTCTACAAGCCTTAGATGAAAATCTCTTCTCCTATCTCTTAAATGATCTTCTTGCTAGCTTGGGTGTGATTCCATTAGAGGCACGACACTTGTTGTGCTTGCTTCCAAGAGATCAACAAAGAGGAATTCTAGTTGTTTACTATAGCAACTAAAAGGTATGTAATCCTAAAACCCTCTCTTCTATTTGTTTCGAAAATATCATAGGTTTTCTAGGGTTCCTTTTGATGTTCTTAGTTATAAGTTCAACATAGATCCTATTTAGGTTGCATGCAAACTTAAGGGTTTTATTTTTGTTTGTTTACCTAAATCCCATAAGTGGTATCAGAGCGTTTGGTTTGTTTTCTGTCGAATTTGATATAATTGTTGAATTTGATCAAATTAGGTTTATTGAAATTAAACCCTAAAAGGCCATACTTTCGACAAGGGCTGGGGTTTTAGAAACCCTAGCCTCTACCCCTTGGATTTCAAAATTTAGGGCTAAGGTTTTGAAACCCAAACCTTCCTCCCCAAGTAATTTCGAAAATAGTAGGTTGCTAGGGTTTCCATATTTTGATAATTGTTAGTTTAATTTGATTAAAAGGGATAATTATAAAATTGGATAAATCCTATACCCTAATTTTCGAAATTTAGAGGGTAAGGATTAGGATTAAATTATTTGATTAATTTAATTAGATAATCCTTAATTTATTTAATTTATTTAATTGTTAATAATTAAATCATTATTAATTTATTTTAAATTTAATTAGTTGAATATTAATTTCGAAATTTAAAATATTAACCCTAGTATTTTACGAAGCATCAAAATACTCTGAATTGACGCTGCTTCTCCATCTCTGCTTCAATTTCAACTTTCCTTTCTTCCTTGGAATTTTCTATAACAACCCCTTTTCCTTTCCCTTTATCTGCTTCATTTTGTTTGGGTTTCGAAGAACTCCCTCCACCAGTAGACTCAATTACAATGCTTTTTGCAATTGGCCTTGTAGTAACTGTAGTTGCCATTACCGGTTCAGCCTTCGAAAATATTGGTTTTGTTGTAGGAATTTGAGTCTTGAAAACTTTTCCCACAACCTTTGTTTCTTCATTCATTTTCTCAGAAACACTTACTCCTTTACCAACTGCTTCCTTTTCTCCCCCTTGCACCCCTATGGTAACAGGCGGGGCATTCGTTGGTAAGAGAGTAACAAAGCGAGACAATGGAGCCAACACTTTTTGAATCGCAGTCTCGAATGAGCGAAACTTCTGATCGACAAACTCAGGAAGGAAGAGAGATGATGACCATACTTCGAAAAAAACTCCTTCAATTCGACAAGCATGGTGTTAAGTTGACCAAAACTGGTAACATCAGCAATTACTTTCTCATCAAACTTGGGAACAAGAGATTGGTGTGTTTGAACAAATGAAGTAACACCAGCAACAATAATATCAACTTTCTTACGGATAGAATTGTACTTTTTATCCAACTCACTGAGCTTTGTAAACACGCTTTCTTTCATTTCTTTAAGTTTCTGATTCACATTTTCACGAACTGTTTTGACATCTTGCACAAAAAGAACATGACGTTCCTTGGCAACACGTTTCAAATCCTTGAGCTCATCATTAAAATTCGAAGACGAAGACTTTACTCGTAACTCATTATTTTTTTCCAAGACATCAAGCTTGTCTTGAATTCGACACTAAGATTCTTGAATCATCACATTCAATTTATTCAAAAGACGAAGCTCTTGTGCTTTTATCATGACGTCAACTTCAATACCTGATACAGAATTCCTACCCCCTGCATCTGCTTGTGATTGCAACAATGAGTTAAGTTTTCTGTTGAGAATTTTGAACTGCTTCCCCGATATTAACATATGGTCTGGTATGTTTTCTTCGTCAGGATCAAATTCTAAGTCAGCAAATGATCCTCCAAACCCTCCTTCATCAGTATCATTATCATTGATTGGTTTGGGTGGGTCAGTAGATTGAGATGAAAATAGAGAAGTAATGGGTTGATT